ACAGAGCATCACTCCCACCAAGGGTGACCCACGACACCTTCTTGCCAGCTCTTTCTGCCTCTTGGCTCCTCGCTCTCAGCTGAAACTGTCCCGGTTCCAGGAAGGGTGAACAAGGGCTCCAACTGCACAAATTTACAAACCCTCCTGTTGACTGTGCTCAACCCTGAGCAGTCCCTGGCACAGTGACAAGAAGGAGCGTGCCAGGCACAGTGCATCAAGGGCTACTTGCTCTGCTCAATTCAAGCCCTAGTGACAACTCCGAGGGCAAGCGGTGGGATCTGCTCCAGGAGATGCCACATCTCTTGCAGGCAGAGGTGGGATGGGATGCAGTGTACATATCCTGGCTCTCACCACCTCCTCGCTGCTCCGTTCCCCTACTGCGGAGCACAGGGCCAGTAAAAGCTGTGGCGAGGCGAAGGATGAGATGAAAGACATCACACGGATTAACAACCAGCCAGCCAGTGCAGGCTTGGTCTAAGGCCATAGCTGCTCAGGAAAGAGCTTGCTTTAATGCTGAGCCAAAGCGCGAGGACTGGAGGCTGCATCTCGCCCACGTCGTCCAGCACAACGCTTACCAAAGCCGTATAATCAACCTGCAGGACACCAGAGGACTTCCCAGGGAGTCCACTGCCTTCTGGCTAGGTTTCTTGGTTTGGAAAGGCTGTCATTAGCTCCTCAACAGCAATAAAAATGAGATGAAAGTGTGCTAGATACTTGGTTGATCTGCTTCCCACATCACCACAGAGCTACTGTACAGCCACAAATGGGAATCAAAGGACTGAGTCAATGCAAGGTGCCCACAAAGGGAGAAGAACCTGGGGGAAAACCTTTGCCCTGAAACTTGGCAAAACACTGGAGAATCATGAGAACTGGACCTCTGCCTCCCCAGAGAGCTCCAGAGTGCATCTGCCTATTACTTGGCATTTCTAGAAATTAAAGTTTCCTGGGGAAATGCAGCTCTGCCAATGAGCAAAGCAGCACAGAGCATCGCTGGGAGCTGCAGCAGAGAGGGAGAAGCAAACTCAGCCCTAAGCTGGCAAGGAGAGCACAGCAAGAGATGATGCACAGGTCATGGTGCAGCAGGGCCATCAGAAGCTCTGGGACAGGCAAACATGAAGCCACCAAAGAGACTTTCCACCTCAAGGCCACCGCACAGCCCTTGGCCCTGTGATGCCCGGCTGGATGGAGTGGCTGTCCCCACCAATGAGCCCGCAGGGGATGGTGCAGGAGCAGCTCCATCAGGATGTGCAGGACCCAGGGGAAGCTCCCAGGGAAGCCTCCGGTGCCACAGCTCACACCCATCAACCAGCTGATGCCAAATGCCAGTTTGCCCAAGTCTGCATGCCAGACGCTCTATAAATAGGGAAGACTTCAGACACCTCAGGGCTGCACAAGTCAAACACGCCATGGCTGAATTAACTGTAATGGCTCAGTTGTGTTCCTTTGGCTCGCCGCATCCTTCCTCCCCGTGGCAGGGCTACGCCAGCACCCACAGAACAACAGCTAGGACTCAGGCTGGAAACACTGAGGACAAGGCATCTTAAGGCTGAGATCCTCTGTCTGGATCTGGCTTTCAAGCTCTCATTGGATACAAATCCATATAACTCATGGAGAGATGGATAACGCTGCCCCGTCCACCCATGCATGTTGAGGGTACAAGTGACCCAACCCACTTGGCCAGCTCAGACAGGTCTAGCATGCCTGTGGTGGTGTTGGGATGAGCAGACTTCAGCTATGAAAGCCTGCCCAGCAGGTCACAAACTGCCACACACCTTCTTGTCCCTCAGGACCCCTTCTGCTCAGCCGGGATGGGGGGCTGCAGGGGCCAACTGCCAGCGCTGCGCAGGCATTTTCACCCAACGAGGTATTTTTAACACAGATAAATCCCATGGTCATTCCCGAGATGAAAGTGGCACAGGAATCCTAAAGAAGCCCATCTCAGCACCGGGGCCTTGGGAACCACCCAGGGCTGCCCAGAGGAGCTGCTGGGACCGGAGCAGCTCTCCTGGCTCAAGGGCAGCTTGGGCTGCATCCCCAGCTTGCCTTTCTGCACATCAATTAACCTGGTCTCACACAGTGGGGTGGGGGCTGATTAATTCTCGCAGTGCCTTTGGAGATGCTTTATTTTTGGCTCCTCGGTCTCGCACATAACAAAACTGTTCATAAAAACAGGCAGCGTCTGTGCAGCACCTCCATGGCTTCAAAGCTGCACACCCACCACAGAAAGCGTCCTCCAAGCTTCAAATCCAATTGCTCTGGGAGCAAAACCTAATTAGATTTAAGATCTCATTTCTCTTAATGGACAAAACAGAGGGGAAAAAAACCAAAGGAGCAACATCTCCCATCACAGGCAGTGCACGAGGCTCCCAGCAGCAGACGTGGGGACACCACGGGGGGCGGCACAGTCCAGGTAGAGGACGGTCACCGAGCATCTGTCCTGCCGTCACCAACCCCAGGACATGGCGCACCCTGTGATCCCTCCACGGTGTCTGTGATCTCGGTGTGTTTGGGAGCAGAGCGAATGAGTAAGGAGAGGGTGAGGGCAACGACTAAAGCTGGGGCAGAAGCAGTGGGAGAGGAGAAGACACCCACTTCATCAAGCCTGACAGGTTCCTGGGCTTGGTGTGTGCCCGGATGGGCAGGGGTGATGGCAAGGGTCACTGAGGCACAACCTCTGGCACATACAGACAGGGCAGTGCCTACAGAAGAAGAAGGGGTAGATCCTGAGAGGGTTGTGGGGAGCCCCAGGGGGTGGCTATGCCCTGGGGCAGTGACTCTACATCACCATTTCTTCTGCAACTGTCCTACTTCCAGAGCAAGAAGCAGATGCAGTTAGGATGGAGAAGCTCGTGGGTGCTGGGGAGCGTCCCCAGAGCAGCTGAGAAGTCCCTGCTCTCGTACTTTCAAAACCCAAGTGATTTACTGGCTTTGCTGTCAGAGCTCCCGGCACTTTCTATCTTTGGATCCATCAGTTGAAAACGAGAGCTGAGGATTTCGTAGAGCTTTGTGCAGTCACCACATCCCAGCTGAGCTCCGTTCAAAAGAGCCTGTTCAAGAGCCCCCGGAGCAGCAGGGACCAAAGATGCTGGCTGGGACACCCCAGGAGAAGCAGAGCCCTCTGCCCAAGAAGCACTCCTGATAAAACTTCAATAACCTTGTTGCTTTTCACAAGCCTTTTTGCCAGAAGAGATTGGCCACTGTCCTGACAGAGGAACCCAGCTTTTGCAAAGGACTGTGCACAGGATTGTGTACCTTCCCAGCACAGACCCCATCCTGCCTCTGCATCTGCTCCACACCTTCACCCCGAAGGGGAAGCAGGTCCCTCACCATCGCTAACCAGGACACCTCCTCTGTACCAGCCACTGCACCACGGTGAGGCCTGAGCAGCCTTTTCCTTGCACCCCATCAATTCTCTGTCAGGCACTGACAGCCCGGCAGGATGCACAGAGCAAAGACAAGGATAATTTAATATACTTCTATAATTTAAGCAGAGCAGCAGAGTCCTTCCAAAATCCAGGAGTAGAAAAACAACAGGAAAGTTTCTTTCAGGTCTGCAGACAATTAAGGACCTGCCTAAGTCCTTTCAAATCTTCTCCTCTCTTAGAAGGGAGGCATAGGGATATCTAAAATTCCTATTTACATTACAAGCCACCCCTGTGGCTGGGTATCACCTACAGAATGACGTTAGCTGATGAATGAGTCAGTCAGCTGGTGCAGTGACACGCTCATCATCCTGCTTTACATTAAACGTCAAGCTCTTGTTGAGCCTCATGTCAGTCAACCTTTCCATTCAGGCAGTGTGAAACGTTTCTATTATCATTATTATACATCATAAAGGCTAATCTTAACAGAGCAAAGGCTTGCACAGCCAAGTCTCCTTCTAACTCTCCACAGAAACTACCATACCCCACTAGCACCCAGATTCCCAGGCATCTGCAGCTCATGAAGGACATTCCCACAGGTGACCATCAAGGACATCATTCTGACTCAAGGATCTCCTACCTTATTATTCATGCTGAGCTGTGAAAGGGAAGAGAAACACCCATTTGTTTGTGAGAAAAACAACCCAGAGTAGGATTCAGACTCTTTCATTTTGAGCACAAAAACCCATGATGCCTCTCTGACAATGAGATTATTTGCAAAGATCTCTTTTAATCTCTGCGCATTCTGACTTCTCCCTTGCTTGCTTATTCCTCTAATTATGGTGGTGGTATGGTTCTTCTTTGCTGGGAGATGACCATGTTTCTCTAAAACTAACCAGGTATCACCGATTGCCCAGAAGAACCACCCACAGAGCAGGTTTTGTTGGACAGGCAGGACCAGACTTCTCCTAAGCGATGGGCTCTGGATGATGCAGGGAGATCTTAATGCCACGGTGGCAACAGCCTCAGAGGTGGCACCTGGGGCCCACCTTTGGCCAGAAGACACCACTACTGCTACCATCAGGGTCCTGGGTCCAGGGAGATGCCTGGGGCAGGGACTGAGGCTCGTGCTCCTCCTGCGGCAAAGGAAACCCCTGGGAGCAGTGAGGGCCCCCATCTCAAGAGCTCACTTCTCTAGTTTTATATTTAGTTTAGTTCACCCATGATAAAAAGCACCCAGAGGAAAGGCAAGGCAACATACGGGAGTCAGGAGTTCTCGCTAGCTTCTTTGAATTCAAAATTAGCTGCAAACAAGGAAGAAATTTCTCCCCCTGTGCTCTCTGCACTCTCTATGCAGCATTTATGAAAATCTGAGGGGAGTTTTTGCGCTACGCTGGATGCACTTTGCTGGATGTGGTTTGACACTGAAATGCAAGGTACCACCACATGTCTATCTCCCAGCAAGAGCTGTGTCCCGGATGCTCCCATGGGTACAGGCACCGCCCCTGTGCACCCCTGGGTTTTCACGGAGGAGCTCTGCACAGCTGCGGGAACAGCTTTGGTCCAGTGAGAGCCAGTGCAGGATCCGGCCCCACAGTGCACACAGCCCGACTGTGTTTCCTCTCCGGATTTACTCACTGATCTCCAGCTGCCTCTGGATCCTGCCCTTGCAGCGCTCCCGGTAGTCGGTCTGCGTGGCATTGTACTCGGACATCACCTCCACGAACTTGCGTGACAGTGTTGAGTGCTGCAGAGGGGAGAGGAAGAGAGAGCCGGGGTGAGGGTCCCATGGGAGGGAGAGACTTGTCGGCCCTGAGCTAGGGGAAGGCTCAGCCCTGAGCACCCCTCACACCTCCAAGCAGCCCAAAAAGCATTTCTAGCCCAAAAGCTGCTCCGAGGAGTGTGACGAAGCACAAGGGGCGCAGGTGGCAGCAGGTGACATGGCCTGGGGAGAGGGACCAGATGAACCCATCACCAAAGCCCAATCCAAGCATAGCTGTCAGCCCCCAGAGGACACCCTGGGGTGGTGGCAGACCCATGGGTCACGGCTGGCAGCACCCTCCTTGCACCACACCACAGCTTGTGCCCAAGCAACCCAGAGCCGAGGCCACAACGGTGCCCTGGATCGAGCCCTGCTGGCCTCTGCCATGCTGTCGGGATGTGCTGGACCTGGCACAGGCGCAGGATGGACCCACAGCTATCACTTTGCAGTGCTGGAGTTGGGCAGGGAGGCCCCGTGGGGATCCTGCACCCTGAGCCATCGAACCTCCTACCAGGCTGGGACATGGCTGGCAGGGGGAGCCCGGGGTCCAGGGGCACGCAGGCTGGGTCGAGGGGACAGAGGACATCCCGGGTAATTGTTTCTGCTCCGGAAGCACCATCCCATTTTTGCTCCCCAGACTGGAGGGCTCCCCCAAGCACCAGCCTCATGGGGACGCTGGGGACAACCACCTGTCCCAAACTGAGCGGCTGCCTGCAGAGCTGCCAGCCCAGGGTGGGTGGGGTGGCAGAGCTGGCAGCCCCCACACACAGAGCACCCTCATCTTACTAGGCTGCTTTCTGTTCTCCAGGAAATGCACCAGAAAACCTTGGAATTACACCTGACCAGAGT